CTCATCTTAGTCGGACTCGATATGATATGACCACTAGGGTCGAAATAAAAATCATCTTCTTAGTCATCACCGAAACAATGGTAACGACATACATGAACAAAACGGAATCAATTACTGGCTTTTTGGTAACCTTGTGACTTTCCTTGATCCAAGCGTGAGTCCTGTGCTTCCGGTAGCATAGGCCTCTACTACCATTCACACCTACTCATACTCGTCCCAAGTATCGTCTCGCAGGACCTCCTATAGCTTCCCGGGACCATCTAGACTGCCTAGGACCGCTCAGGACCTCCTATAGCTTCCCGGGACCGACTTCGCCTAACTCGACCGACTAGCATTAATCGTAGACGGTAAGAGGCCACCTGATGCCTAGGCTGATTTTTACAACATTGATATATATATATATATATATATATATATATATATATATATATATATATATATATATAATGAAACAAGCANCATATAAAGAATTTTAATAAAAAGAAAAAGAAAAAAGAAAAAGAATAATAAAGAAAAAGAATAATAAAAAAGAAAAAGATTCTCCATGCAAATGATTTCAGGTTCTATAACTCCCAACCATATTTAGTTGCAAATTTTCGTTTCCTTTACAGCACCGTGTGCAGAATACCTCCAGCCAAATGATTATGTGGTTGGAGAAAATACTGCATATCTTGGTTTTCTATATTCCACTACAACAATTGGGCTTTATTTGTTCATTGGCTTGGAAAACACATAATTTTTCTTCTCGTTACCGTTGTCTCTATTCTGCCTTTGAAGCTTTGATGCCGGCAATTTAGTTAACGAGATCAAACATTTCATTTGTGTTGACGATGACGATGCCGTTTTCTTTCCTTTTATTTTTCTCAGTGAGTCTTCAATATTAAATGGTTGTTGTTGTTGGGGGAATCCGGGAGGATACTGTTCATTAGAAGATATTGTGTGGGCGTTGGATGAAGATGTTTTGGTTCGTTTTGAAGAAGGAGGTGGGAAGTCTTCATCAACTTTTGTAACCAACGCCCATTTTGCGTGGTCTTTCAACCACTCCCAAGATTTTTTCATGAAGAAAAGCTTTCTGATTAATAGTCATCCGATACTCGCTTTATGAAGCTTTTAAAACATCGGCCTTAGATCTCCCGCTAGCCACATTGTTTGTCCTATGATGCAGTTGAAAGCGTTACATTTCTTTTGCATGTCTTTCCATTTTGAGTTTACTTGGTGTCGTGATCGAGCCGAACCTCCCATTTGAGCATTAAAATGCTCTAGAACCCAATCCCAAAATGCATCAAACCTTTGTTTATTTTTGCGTTCTTTATCTTGAGAAACATCGACATATGCCCTAGCCAAATCCAACTCTTAACGTTCCACCCATTTCTTTGACTTTTTGGCGGTTTGTATGGTTGCGTTTTTTGTCTTAACAACAAGTTGCAACTCCTCGCTAACTTCTTCTTCGTTTCTTTCGGGAATCGGGTTGTCACTAGAGCTATCAGATTCTACATTTTGAGAATCACGGAGCTAGAAATGCTCAGGTTGAGAAGATTGGAATTGGGTTTCTGGAACCCTTTGAAAAAACTGATTACATGGATTATAACTTGGATTTTCCTCTGAAAGCCAAAATATGTTGTAAGATTGTTGCACCGGGTAATATTGTTGTGGATAGTTTTGGTTTTGTTGGTAGTTTTGGTATTGCTCATAGTTTGAGTTTTGAAATCCTAGAGAAGAAAATGAAATATCTTGACTTGAACCGCCTTGCGTGGATTTACGTATTTAGCTAGAACAGTCTTGTTTAGCTTTGCTCGGGAATCCATTGAAGGTAACCGAAGGAATTGCGCGAAGTATAAAATTTCACAGAGAAAACATACTAGAATTGAGTGAAGTGTGGAGTATTCATGCTCATAGACTTATACAAAGTTATATTAAAACAAAAACAAAAAAGAAAAAAGAAAGACTAAACTGCACAAATGGTCCCTGTGGTTTGCTTAAAATTGCCACTTTGGTCCAAAAAGATTTGGACTAGCACCAGAAGTCCAAACTTTTCATTTTGTTGCGAGTTTGGTCCAATTTGCTTTGAACTTTTTTATATTGACGATTTTACCCTTACTTTTTCTTTTTCTAGTATTTTTAATTTATTTAAATACTTTTCTAATTAAAAGAAAAATAAAAAAAGAAAATTTATCCTTTCTATTTTATTTTTATAAATTTTTATAATAGAAAAAAATACCTCTCTCTCTCTCTCTCAGATCTTGTATGAATGGATGAATGAAAAGCTGTTGATTTCGGAAGATAATCAACATTTTGAATGAACTTCTCAAAATTGGACTTCGGTTTAAGCATACTAAAAGGATGTAAACTCAGGTCTTCGATTTCAATAGATGGGAGAAAAGGATGAAAGGGTGTTCGTATTTCAAACTCAACAGGAAGACCCAAGAACCCATTGAACCGATCGAAGGTAACATGCAAGAAGATCTTGCTTCTTTTCTGTAGCTGTGGTCTTGCAAGAAGCAGGAACCCAGAAAGATTTCCTGAATAGGGTAAAAAAAAGTGCCAATAACGACAGCTGTTGATTATCCCTTTCTCTTCGAACATTCAATTCATCGTTTTTGTCATCATCTTCTTGGCAATCGGTAACCCTAGAAACCCTTTCTCCAGATTCTTCCGATTCTTGATTTACATACTGAAACAATGCAGTGTCATGGTGGGTTTGCAAAGAAGAAGAAGATGAAGATGGAGAATGGAGGACCTCTGTCATGGTTGTAGAAAACAAGAAGGTGGATTTTGTCTGTTTGGATGTGTAGAGATTTTTGAGTAAAATAATATTGGTTGAGATTTGGCCTTTGGTGGTGGGATTAACGAAATGATTGGAGGGCATATTTTGATTTGGGGGAAATGGAAATTTGGGAGGGAATTGTGGATAGATTAATAGAACGTGAGCGTCCTCTTAGTATGCTTAAAGTCGACAAAAAGATCTCCGGATCCTCAGTCGAAACCTGATGTCGCTGCCTTTCTCGTTTTCGTTTTTTTGCTTTAAGTTGTCGATTAGGGATTTTGTTCAAGAAAACGCGAAGGGAAAGGGTAAGGCGGATCGGAGATAGAACAACAATAGGTGGGGGCATTTGGGTTGCTATGAAGCAGACGATAAGCACAAGGAAAACGAGAGGGGGTTGTTGCCCTCTTGACAGCCGAAAAACCCCACCTCCGGTGGAGGTTTTCTCGATTAAAACTGAAGAAGAAGAAGGGTTTTCCAGAGAGAGAGAGAGAAAGAGAGAGAGATTTATTTTTATTTTTATTTTTATTTTTATTTTTATTTTTTTTAATTTGAAAATCAGAAAAATAAATGAGAGAGAGAGAGAGATTTATTTTATTTTTATTTTATTTTTTATTTTTTAAATCTGAAAATCAGAAAAAAAAAGAAAATCATATTAACAGGGGTAAATTCATCATTTTGAAAAAAATCAAAAAAGATTGGACCAAACAAGCAACAAAATGAAAACTTTGGACCTCTGGTGCTAGTCCAAACCTTTTTGGACCAAAGTGGCAATTTTGAGCAAACCACAATGACCATTTGTGCAGTTTAGTCAAAAAGAAAAGAAAGAAAAGGACGGATAATGCATTAAAGGTGGCAGAGAATCAACTCTTCTGCATGAATATTGAATTGTCTTGAGTAGTAAAAATCATATTTATCACATGCATGTACAATAACTCACGGGTTCACCAACCCGTTGCCATTAATCTATCCAATCTGCCGTTGAAAGGGCCATGACCCGGCGGTATCACTGGTACACCCTAAACTGCTCAGTCCTCCCTTACAAATACTTTAAGACAAAATTGCAAGAATGATCCCTGTGGTTAAGTGGAAATTACCACTTTGGGCCAAAAAGGTTTGGACTAGCACTCATGGTCCAAAGGTTTTCATTTTCTTGTCACTTTGGTCCAATTTACTTTAATTTTTTTTATAATGACGATTTGGCCCTTGGTTTTTATTTTTTCAGTTTTTTTTCTTTATTTAAATACTTTAATAATTAAAAGAAAAAGAAACAAAATACATTTCTCTCTCTTCTTTCTTTCTTTCTCTCTCTCTCTCTCTCTTAAAAGTCGTCTTGCACCTCTGTGTTCTACTGTTCTTCGTGTTTTCCTTAAACCCAAAAATTGAAACCTCAATTTCTTCAAGAATCGACCCCCTAATCACATTGTAGGTAATCTCCCGTCCTTTCCTCAACCATCCAACCCCATTGATGGTGGCAAGAACGAGTTTTTCTGATTAAGAAAGAGGGAGCGATTTCTAAGGTAGAGGTGACCTAATCTTGTGCTTCCATGGAAAATCGAATGTCTGAGGTATTCCTTTTCGATCTTGTCGTCAGCTTCAGTGTTATTCCTTTTTTGATTAAACGATGAAGTGGGTGGAGGAAGAGGGAACATCGATGGGTTGAGGAACTCCAAATTTAACATCACAGCTTTTCTCCCCCTTTTCGTTATCCCGATCTGATCAAGATTAGGTTATCTCCAACCATGAAATCGTTGTTTGCCATGGAGGTTTATCTTCGATCTGACTTGGTAGCTGCAGTGATGGTGGTTGTATAAGAGATGAGTCGGTGATGGTCGGATCTGTGAAAAAAACCCAAAATCAAAATTCGAGATTTTGGAGTTATGAAGACTTTTCTGAAGATTTCAAGTTAAGTTCATCAAGAATCCAAAGATTTCAGGTTAAGTTCTAGGGTTTGCTTATCGGTGGTCATTTTTGGAACACAAGAACCAAAATGACAATAATTTTGATTTGCTTCACTATGAATAAGATTTCAGATCTTACATTTTGGGCTTCTATTTGTTCATACCAAGAACACAAGAACACAATCATCTTAAGTTTTGTGTTGATATTTATTCGAGTTCTGGAGAACCTCCCATCTGCAAATCATTATTCCTAAAACGGGAGTTTGAAACCCACTCACCCACTTGCAATTTTTTCTCGCTGGAATCAAATTCGAGAACCTCCCACCTGCAAAAGGACATTGGAGTTTGAAGGTGTATGAAGAGAGAGAGAGAGAGAGAGAGAGAGAGAGAGATTGAGATTTTCTTGAGAGAGAGAGAGAGATTGAGATTTTCTTTTTCTTTTAATCATTATAAAAGTATTTTCATAAATAAAAAACCTGAAAAAAAAAAAACAAAGGTAAAATCGTCATTACAATAAAGTTTAAAGTAAATTTGACCAAAATGGCAAGAAAATAAAAACTTTTGAACCATGAGTACTAGCCTAAACCTTTTTGGCCTAAAATATCAATTTCGACCTAACCACAACAACCACAATGACCATTTTTGCAATTTTGTCATACTTTAAAAGTCTAGTTTTAAAAACATCCCAAGCGACTTCATGGGCCTTATTGGACCCTGCTGGACATCGATAATAGTATAAGTGTATAACACAATAACACATAATCTCACATAAATTTAACATAACTAATGAATAACAACCAGCCAACTATTCCGTGTGTTGAAATTTTGGTATTGAAACTATTTGCATTTTGCACTATATCATTAGTTGGAACTGTTTAAATGTCAAGTAAAACTAATATTTAAAATATTTAACATTTTAAAATTCTAGGACAGCAAATATAAAAGTATTATTAATTTACTTTTTAAATTACACAAAAATAAAAGTTAACTCATGTTTGTAATGTTTCCCTGATCCAGCCTCCAAGGCATCTCTAAACCAGAGCTAAAATCATGGACAGATTCTTCATTCCTGCCATGGAAACACTACAATCTTCACATCAAAAACTTCATTCTCCCTCATAATCAAACATTACAAACTTCATACATATTGCTTTTCAAATCCAAACTTCAGACACCACTCGTGACCTTTAAAGGGACTACAGGATCCAGCAACTTCTTCACATGAAGCTCAACCTTCTTTCTTAGGTCAGCAGTTGGAAACCTGTCTATAACTTCAGCACCAAAGGAGACAATGAGCGACTTCCTGGCTGTTTGTCTATCAATACCCCTTGCCTGAAGATAAAACAGTTGGTCCTCTTCCAAATCACAGATTGAAGCTCCATGAGAACACTTCACATCATCAGCAATTATCTGAAGATTCGGTTTCACATTAACCGTTGCACGTGGCTCAAGAATCAGACTCCTTGTCAGTTGTCCTGCATCTGTCTGTTGCGCGTATCTGACAGCTTTCTAACATCAGTTATCCAGACAACACTTTATCCATACACATAGATAAAAAGAAAAAGAAAAGGTACCTGTTGACCTTTATGTTCCCATCAAATACAACTTGTCCAAGTGAATGAGCTACAATGCACTTGTGAAGTTGTCTAGAAAACCCTCGTGGATGATCCAACACTATTTTACTATGTAGATCTTGTGTTTGATCATTACCTGATAAATGAAATGTTGATAATCCTGTTATCGTGTCTGATCCAACTTGTTGCACGTGGACATTGTGTCTGCTTAACTTTCCACCTGTGCTTACTTCTACTAGCTCGTATGTACTTGATTTTTCCTACAATAATCAATTTCAAGAATGTTTTCAAGAATATTTTCAATGATTTACTGAATCATATTTGGAATGAAGCAATTACCTGACGAATGGAGGTCCATTTGATATGAGCAGAGTTCAAAGATTGAGTCTGGATGTATGAATGGCTAACTTTAGCTTCTTCCCCGATTGCAATTTCCATGACTGAATTTGTCCAATAACTCAAATCCCCATCACCACCTATAAATTCTTCGAGTATTCCAATCTCTCCTCCTTTCTCAACCACCACTAAAACCCTTGGATTCGAGACTGGAAGCTTCTTTGACACCTTATCACTACCTTCATTACTAATGTACCTCAAACGCAATGGACCCTCAACTTTACACCCTTCTTGAACATAAACCACAACCAAATCAGGTGACCCAACACCATTAAGTGACCAAAACAAGTCTCCTGGTTCAGAACTAGGTAAAAATTCGAGTACCCTATTTGTTATTTCGTTCGAACTTAGGCTAGATAAGCTTCCAACAAACACCCCATCTGGTAACCCTGATAATTGAGATAAAGAATCAATGATGTATCCATCGATTATAGTCAAATTGAGCGATTGTGTATCCTCGAATGCACTTATATGGTTAGAAGATTCAGGTGATGTTGGAGATGAAGCCGGTATGATCTCTGATTGCTTGATGAAAGATGTGTCTGTGAACCTAAAAGGCTCGTCTTTTCTAGATGGCCATGGAGTGGAGAGAAGAGATTCTGAAGCAAAATCTCTCAGCTTTTGAAGACCTGATGAAGAAGAAGATGGAAGAGAGTCTTCCAATGTTTCTGCAATTTCGAGAACAAACGGGTCGGAGAGGGCAGCAATCGGGGGTAAATATCGTCGCTGGGTCAAAACCCCAGGTTTGACTTTTCTTGTTCTTATAAAGTTCGATTGGTATTGCGATGTAGATAGTGTGAAAGATGGAGATGGGGATGCACGGATGATGGGCGTGAAGGCCGAAACAGCCATTGCCGGCCGGAGGTGGAGGTGAGGAGTGGAGGGATTTTGACTGAATCAAGAAACTGGAACCACACCTGCGTGACCTTTCGAGGGGATCAAAGTTTTGGTAATATTTTCAGTTAGACTCCCTAGACTATTAGTTTAATGATAATTTATCCCCTGATCAGCTTTGTCATCTCTTGAAAAAGTTGCCCTTTATATGTTGTCTTTCTTGGTGAAAAGCAAATACAATCCACCAAAAAAAAAAACCTGGATAGAACTGTTTCTCTTCTAAAGATTTCTTTTGTTATATGAAAATTACAATCTTTCTTTTGTTTTATGTTTGATTGCAACAAATCTTTAATTTTACTCAAAGTTAATCTATCAATCAATCAATCTATGTTATTTGCCCAAGAGTTATGAGATAATTTATATTGTTTGCTTTCTAACTCGTATCATTTTAGACGAAATAAGTCCAAGTGGGCTTGATTATTATAATTTTTATGGAACGATAAATTATACAAGGTCGAAGTCATAATTGAAATTCAATGATATCATTTACAACTTTTCTTTGTGTCCCAAGTATTTGTTTTTATGCCTCAATGAAACAAATAGATACTGATGTTGCATTTTTGTTCACCCCCACTTGTACCAACACCGAGCAAATCATAATGACATTGGGCTAACGAATTTACAAAATTAATAAGGGACAAACATCTAAAGCATAGGTACAACCATATAAAGGCATTAAAAGCACATCCTTTTAGTATAGGCTTGCAATTTGAGGACTACAAAAAACTAGCACTTCTTCAAGAGAAGCCCTAGATTCATCTCCAAACAAAGACTCTTTCCCATCTTCCCTTTTGGCATAAGACAAACCCAATCTCGACTTCGCTTGTCTCAAATCTCCAACACCAGAGTTTGTATCGGGCCCTGCAAACCCGCCCATGACAGGTGCAAGTGGTGGCCCGATTAAGAGCCCATCGGCCCCAAACTGGGGCCCACCTCGGGCATAATCAAAAAGAGCAGCACCACTACCTCCTACTTTAGGCAACACAATAGGGTAATTTTTCTCTTCATCCGGCCAATAAAAGAGGAACGCGTCAAAAGTCTCGTAGTAATCATCAGTGCTTCGGTAACCTTCAGGATTGAATGCACCAAACTTGAAAGAGTTGTCTGTGTAGCCGATTATCACACACGGGCCCTTGAAATCACTGCATACATGAAATGAAGTCGCACTAAATCCATCCAAGGTGGCCTTGTAACAACATTTTAATTCTTTCCCTGTTCAAGATCATTAAAAACATAAACACAACCATAATCCATAATCGGATAATTGAAATTTCAAAGTTGGACTGTATTGTGGGGTTGTAACTGTATAATTACAACCCCACAAACATTAAAGTGTTATAACTTTTAGCAAGAAAAAAGATGATTACCATTGAGGAAAGTTTTGTTGAGTAGAAAAGATGGAAAAGGAAGATCAAGATTATGGTAATTGGGCTGAGGTTTGTCATTGGCTTTGTTTTTGCCGACGTTCCAACCAAAGAGGCAGACACTTTTTAGTATGCAAGAAGCCATACCAAAAAATGCATTTCAAAATTGAGCAAAAAAGTATGGAACAAATCACAAACTTGAGCCTAAGTTTTATCCACTCATTTACATCTTATCCTCAACAAATAGGATCTTTCAGTTATGGAATACCCTATAGATTTTTATGTTCGTAACTGGGGCCTGGGCACTTTGGGAATAACCCAAGTTAGCTAGATTTTATTTAACGTTTAATTTTGTATATAGTATATAACTTTTAAAAATAATAATCAATTAGGAATTAAGTATTTAGCAAGTTTTTTATTATAGCAAAAAAAGGTTTACATACAAAATTACAAATACCGTGTTATGATAACTAATCAGTATGTTAATCATACTGAACTATTTTTGTTACCACAAAAAAATTAGTTATTAATTTGGATCCACAAGTTATTTATCTATTTGTTTTTATTGGCATGTATTATTGATATTTGACACATTGTCAATTTTTTTTTATCTGAATTTAAAATAAAATTAAAATACATGAAATGTTTTTTTAATAATTCCAGTGAGTAATATCACATTCAAATTTCGATGGACAAAAAATTTATTTATTTTTTTATATTAGAACATAAATTGCCAATTTTATTTTGGTACAAAGAGCAGTAATAGTTAAAAAAATCCTACCGACAAAATTTCTATAAAGTATTATATATTTGACTGCTGACATCACAAGTGGGTCCTTAGCTCAGTGGTAGAGCATTTGACTGCAGATGAAGAGGTCACCGGTTCGAACCCGGTAGGGCCCTATTTTTTTGTTCTTTTAGTGCTTTTGTTTTTTTATATTGAAAATCCTCCAAACAATTGGTGAATTATTAACTAATTAAATAGATACAAATGTCAAATCAGTTGTTTATAATTTTCTGTTACTTGCATGCCTTCTTTGACCAACAATTTTTATGAGGTTTGATATTTAGCCAACTAAGTTTATATGCCCCAAGTTCATCCCTCTATATGTTAATGTTGGACAAAATTTTCTTTTGTACAAATATTTATATAGTCTATATGATAGAATATAAAACTTACGTACTTGACTAATTATAAAATTTATTAATTCATATCCACATAGAAACTTAACACAAACACAAATGCGAATAAATCTTTATATCAAATTGTCTACGGAACCAATCCACCCAAAAATGATCAAAACTACATTTTCTTACTACCTTGGTGGTCTCGAACACTCAACATTCTTATTATACCCATACAAAAATTATTAATAACCATTATACTCTTCAATTCACTCCCCCGTAGCAAAGCTAGAAACGTTAATCTCCGTTTTCGTTCTCCTCTCAACATCCACAACCACATCACCACCATGTTTAAACTCTTTAAAACAAGCCACCCTTCCCAACTCTTCAACTTCCTCAATCACAAGATCAAGTCTAGCCACCAATTCAACCAACAAGGCCAAAAAAGCCGCAATCGGAAGTGCTTCAGAAAACTCCAAGCTCGTGATCGCAAGCTTGCTTAAAGTTGGCCTTAAAACCCTCTTTTCGGTCTCAGAAACCCCCTTCGGTTTCCTCTCACTCGGTGAGTCTGTGTTCATGTTTGATAAATGATGTTCAAACTTTTGCCTTGCGGTCGTTGTAAGCATGGCTAGCATTTTGGGTGTATTATAAGGGCTGTTTGGGCCAAGAAAGAGCCTTGGTTGGGACTTTAATGCGGTGTCGAGGTCTTGCAGTGCTTGGTGGATTTGTTCTGTGATATTTTCTGGCGAGCATTGGCGCCGGTTTCTTATGCTTCCAGCGAGTTCCATTAGGGCTTTTGTTACTTCCGAAGCAAGGCGAATGCATGGATCCTTGAATAGCAGTCGAATTGATCTTGGAGTCTAAAAATTTGAACAAAAAGAACACAATACTTAGGAACTAGAAATGTAGTGAAATTCCAATTTCAGGGCGATTAATAAAAAAAATCAAACTATTGAATGTATTTATATATGTATTGGCAACTATTATAATAAGGTGATACCTTTTTGATCTGGATCACTAGTGTCGCAAATATTTAAATAACGAAAATCAGCCTTACCATTAATGGAGTTCTTTTTTGTTCGCATTTCAATTACAAGTCTAAAGATCTGACATGTTTGGAAAAGAATCTTCCCTCATGAACATTATATTATTAGATCTCAACAAAAAATATTTTTTTTAGCAAGTTGTACTTAAAAATTATCGATATACTAAAATTTAGTACATAAATATTTAATATTTTAAAGATACTTTTTTAATGATTAAATTGTGTCTTCTATAATTAACCCGATAGAAATGTGATGGATGTCGAACATCTTTTGAACTATCCTAACGAGACTAGCTGATACAACTATAAAATCACATATAAACAAAAATAATGACTCAATTGAATTTATCGATTGTTAATCACATAATCCATCATGTTTTCTTTCTTAAGAAATGTGACATACACACTCTAATATACTTATAATTTGAATCACTATATTCGAATCTTCAACCACTTAAGCTGAAGGACATCATGTCAACACTAGATAACACTTGGCTATAACTAGCCTTTTGGTATATAGAGTCAATAATCATCACATAATAATGGCGTATAAAAACATACCCGTATTTCGGTTTGTAGACTTCCATGAAGAGCGACTACCCCATACCCAAAATGACGAAGAACACCTCCTAATTTGACATATTGTTGACACGGGAATTTGTGGCAGTGCCCTGAGTGTCTCGGCTCCCAACTTGCATGAAGCGCCTGCTCGTATCAATATTCAACATTCGTAACATCTGTGGTTAGCTCATGAGATAATTAATAACATACAAATTAATTATTTGTGTTAAGTTTCAATTATTAAGAAATAAAAAAGCTTACAAGGGTTTCATCCGTCGATTTCGAGTCCAAAACTGCCTTATAATTTTCATAAATCGGATCCTCCATCGTCTCGTCTATTTCTAAAGTTGGTTCTTCCACATTGAAGTATTTAGTGACACAAGCTACATTTTGTTTACAAACAATCTACAAATAAGTAATCTTTTTAAACACACGAAAGCAAATATTTTCAAATTTATTGTCTATACATATATATACCTTCGATTGATTTTGCTAAACCTTCGACTTTGGTAATGGTATTATTATGGAGATCTTCTCCAGACCAATTCGGGAAGATGAAAAGACTCATCAGAATGCAAATCCCGGAACCGATCCCGATCATATATGTCCTCCCTTTGGCTAGTTTCAGAATATCATCCACTCGATAACTTGATACAGTGATCAAGTTAAATGTCAACAGGAATATTACTACACCATAATCATAATTCTTTTTTATTTTAGGGAAAAATCTCAAGAATGTAGTCGACGTACCTGTGAAAATTAAATGTAATAGTTTAAAAAAATTCCATATTTTACTATAAAACTACCAAGAAAAGATTATAGTTTGATTCTTGTTATTTGTATTACCAATCAAGAAAATCGAAGCTCCGATAAAAACAGCACGAAAAACCTTCCCGTATTCTCTAGCTATAAACTCGAATATAAAGGCTAACGATGCGGCTAAGAGCGTCCCACATCCTCGATTTAATCCTTTGCATAAGGTTGCCCCTATGAAATTATAGTACGATAAATTATGAATATATAAGTACGTGTGTGTGTAGATATATGTAAATATAACTTACCAACAGTGAATTCAAGCACAACGACGACAGTCATGACAGCCCAAATCGCATTTTGACCGACCCCTTTGAACAATGGCTCCATTAGGTATAACAAAGAGACTAAAGTTAATGAAAACCCGACTTTGAGAGCGTGGATTGCCCTTCTCGGATCATCTCGACCCACTTTCCATATTTTACGGCATATGAAGCCTGGAGATCTCTTCGTCTTCTCCATGAAAGCACGAGCTTTCTTGTTGAAACTATCCATCGGCATATCGTGCTTCACATTCAAGATTTCTTGATCAACAACTTCAAGATTTCTTGATGGAAAACTTATTGATGTCGACAAAGGAGAAATATTTTAAGCAGCATATGACACCATCTGCTTTTGTTGTATATATAGGTGTTTTGTGTGGAAGACAGAGATGATATATGTGTCTGTTCACATGTTCTCCATTGAAAGTGATAGAATTTAAGGAGATGTATAAAAGTCAATTATTGTTGAATAAGAAAATGTGAGTCACAACATAAAAAAATTAGTTACTTTTTTAAGAATTAATGATTGCTTATGAGATAACAACTATGTAGAATATGTGGTTTTTTAATAGTGATACAACACATAATTGATTTGGATGGTTTTCACTTTCCATATCAAAATATGCATATTTTTTAGAAATTAAAAAAAAAAATACCAAAATAAAACTTTACTACAAAAAAATGAAAAAATAAAGAGAATTTCCAAAACTAACCATCTAGTCCACATAGGGGTTTTTGCGGAGTAACATGCCTTTGCGGACTCGTCATGCGCTTGAACATTAAGGATTTTTTTGATTATTTATTTATTTTACTTTTTTTTTTTTTTTTTTTTTGTAATTTTGCTTTAGTGTGTTACATGAGTCTGAAAAACCCTCAAAGCCGACTGTGTATGTTTGAGATTACTTTTTAAGGTTAAAAGTCGTTTTTATAAAATGACTTTTTGATTAGTAACTTTTTTTTCAAAAGAAAAATTTTAAAATGTGTTTGTATTTGTTTTTAGGATAAAAGTCAAATTTTCAGTTAAAAAGCCTCAAAAGTTACAAAAATACAGGATTTGTGACTTTTGAAAACCCAACTTTTCTTTCTACACGAAAAGTCATTTTAAAAGATCTTTTTCATTAGCTAAACATCTTTTGATAATTTTTTTGACTTTTTGAAAAAAGTTAAAAATCAAAAATTGTTTTAAAAGCAATCCCAAACACCTTCTGAGTGTCATTGGAAAATCAATATCTTATATTAACAAATTTCATGTTTTCTTAGGTTGTTGTCTTTGAAAAGGTAACAACTTAACGAATATCTTGGCAACGAGACAAAGCTAGCGATGAAAGCTTACTTGCTTTTCAGTAGATTCTTGTTTGGAATTTATGTTGTAAATTTTTATTTATAAATAGGATTGATAAAAAATGTAAAGCTAC